TAAATATTAGAGGTGCACCAAAATAAACATTTCAAAACTGAAACAAAACCAAAATAAAAAAATGTCAGGCTGAAACCGAAACCAAAAATGTTTTTTATTCTAACTTTTTGTTTATTTTTTTATAAACTTTTTACTATTTATTTATTCTTTTTTTAATTAAATATATTTTTTACTTTACTTTTAGGGACTTCAGGAAAATATTAGGGGTCTAAACAGACCCTTGATATTTCCCTATTAAAATAGAAAAAGAGATTGAGGACACATAGTGCACAATCTCTTATTCTGAAGCACCTGTTATAAATGAACAGGAATCCTCTATACTGAGTGTGCATGTTCATTCATAACATGAGAATAAAGTGTGTTTACTATAACCACAATCATGAATGAACAGGAGGTGATGTAGATCAATTCCCATTCATTCTTAATTGGGGACACAGTAAACATACCATGTCCTCAATTATTTACAAACACTCAGCGATCATTGATCATCACTGTTTGCACTGGCTCTCCATCCTGACTCGCTGTCACACGAAGCTGGGTGGTGCTCAAACAGTGCTCAAATGCAGATTGATGTTCATATAAATCTGTATGATATACTGCGATTGGGAACTAATGCCTCTAAGATATTCACAGAGTATCTTCCTTCAATGATCGATCTCCTCCGATATATAATGAGAAAATAAAAAAACTCACCAGAAGTTTCTGACCATGCATTCAAATAAATGCATGGTCAGAAACTTCTGGTGAGTGTTATTTTCTCATTATATAGATACAGATTTATATGAACATCAGTCTGCATTTGAGCACTGTTTGATATCGATTTGTATTATTATACAGGATTTATATAGTGCCAACAGTTTGTGCAGCGCTTTACAATTTAATGGAGACATTACAATCACAATTCAAGACAAGATGGTAAGGAGGGCCCTGCCCCTGAGGGCTTACAATCTAAAAGGGAGGGGGAAGTGATACATGATGTACGAACACTTATGCAGTATTTGATTTACTGGACACTTATTAAGTCTCATAAGAGATTTACACTGTGAACTTTATCACCTTAGATTCAAATTATGTATTGGAGTTTGATTTATTTAAGTTTACAAAGTATATGACTTTTCTCATAGGGGTGTATTTGTTTTCAGTATTTAGACACACTTGTTGTTTGATATAACGTTGAAAGGTTCAGCGTGGTGCATTGTTTTAAGAATTTCACGCTAGTTGGCACGGCAGCGGACTTTGTTTATTATATATATACATATATATAATTATTTTTTTTCTTTGCATTTTATTTTGACACTTAGCTTATTGGTATCCATTCAGCGCAGATTAGCTGTTGGAAAAAGGTTTAGGAGTGTGTCTATGGGAATGGTTGACCATTCTTTCAGAAGCACATTTGTGAGGTCAGGTACTGATGTTGGATGAGAAGGCCTGGCTCGCAGTCTCCACTCTAATGTATCCCAAAGGTGTTCTATCGGGTTGAGTTCAGGACTCTGTGCAGGCCAGTCAAGTTCATCTAGCCCAAACTCGCTCATCCATGTCTTTATGGACCTTGCTTTGTGCACTGGTGTGCAGTTATGTTGGAACAGGAAGGGGCCATCCCCAAACTGTTCCCACAAAGTTGGGAGCATAAAATTGTCCAACATGTCTTAGTATGCTGATGCCGTAAGAGTTCCCTTCACTGAAACTAAGGGGCCAAGCATAACCCCTGAAAAACAACCCCGCACCATAATCCCCCCTCCACTAAACTTTACACTTGGCACAGTGCAGTCAGGTAAGTACCGTTCTCCTTGCAACCGCCAAACCCAGACACGTCCATCGGATTGCCAGACAGAGAAGCGTGATTCTCCACTCCAGAGAACACGTCTCCACTTCTCTAGAGTCCAGTGGCGGTGTGCTTTGCACCACTGCATTCGATGCTTTGCATTGCACTTGGGTGATGTAAGGCTTAGATGCAGCTGCTCAGCCATGGAAACCCATTCAATGAAGCTCTCTATGCACTGTTGTTTTGCCAGTCTGAAGGCCACACAAAGTTTGGAGGTCTGTAGCTATTGACTCTGCAGACAGTTGGCAACAAATGCGCACTGTGCGCTTCAGCATGCGCTGACCCCCCTCTGTCAGTTTACGTGGCCTACCACTTTGTGGTTGAGTTGCTGTTGTTTCCAGTTGCTGCCACTTTGTTACAATACAATTAACAGTTGACTGTGGAATATTTAGTAACAAGGAAATTTCATGGAACACCTGCATCTAATGATTTGGAGGGGTGTCCCTATACTTTTGACTAAGAAAGCCAACTAAAATGAATGGCATTAAAACCCAAAGAAAACTCTTTTCCAAATTTCACCCCCTTTCTTATATTGCAATCTAAAAGTGTAACAAATGTGCATAAATTCTGTATTACCACATGCAGAAAAATGTTTACAAAAAGTCTAGTTATATAGTATGGTTCAATCCTACAATCCTGTGAATGGGTGTTTATATGAGATAAGCTAAACATTCAAAAATATTAAAATCCATTGCTCATTACCCTTAGCACTCTAAAGACTATAAAAAAAATGTTTGGGTGAACCACTACTTATCTTACCATCAGGTACCGACTCTGCCCATCTAGGATCAGAAGCAGGATAGTCATCCACCAAGTCCATGCTTATCTGTGCAACAGCTTGGTCTAATTCTTTATCGGTTTTCAAATCCATAGCAGTTGAGAATAGACTGTCAACCATGCATTGCGCCCCAACTGTATCCTTCCTACAAAAACAAATATTAGGGTTTAGATTTAGTTACTAAAACAGTCATAATTAATCTGCTTAACATGCAAAATGTATGACCATTATAGGTGAACAACACAAGTTTATAGAAGTCCACTGCATATTACTATTAACCTTAAAATATACTTGTCATGAGATGAATATGAGGGGTGCCACTGCTAACCTCCTTTGGAAAATGCTAGATGCTTGACTGACATGCTGAGCTAGTGAAATATAAGTCAAATACCCACAAGTGCTGCTGGCTTGTACTGGCTGTGGTGTGAGGCTGGCTGCGATCTGAGTGTGGACAGCTGGAGGATTGGAAAGGACCTGTTTAGTTAGACGGTGTGAGCTGCCTGACTGGTGATAGAAATGAGCTATGCTGCTGGCAATTAAAGCTATGTGAAGCCCAGGGGGTGTGAGAGGAGGGATGAAACGGTGAAGAGGGTTGCTAGGCAGCCTGGCTTCCTAACTAATCAGGAAGCTGGGCGTCACGTAATGACCCGCCTTCCTGATTGGTCAGGAAGCCAGGCTGCCTAGGAACAAGTGAAGCTGGCTTCCTAGTCAATCAGGAAGCCGGGAAGCAGGTCATGACATGCCGCCCGGCTCATAATGGACTAGGAAGCCAGCTTTACTTGTTGGTAGGCAGCTTGGCTTTCTAACCAATCATGAAGCCGGACGGCACATGACTAGCCGCCCGGCTTTCTAATTGTTCAGGAAGCTTGGCAGCCTCGGCAAGTAAAGCCGGCTTTCTTACGCTAGAACACCGGCTTCACAGGAAGCTGGGTGATGGGTCATGATCCGCCGCCCGACATCCTGATAATTGAGGCACACAACACCAGTACTCTACCATTTTCACCTGGGGTGTTAAAGGATTTGATTTAATTAGCCGTAAATACCTGCCCTGGTAATAGGGGATTTTAATAACTATCTTAGCTTGCCATTGGTTAAATATGGATTCAAAGCTGCTATAATAAATTCAGCTATGGCTCAATTTGCTAGATTTATTGGGGAGATTGGCTTGCATGACATTTGGAGGCTGAGGCATCCAATGACTAGACCGTTTGTTGTTTTTTACAAACCCACAAAACTTGTTCTCGTATAGATTTGGTTTCGGAAACTATTTTACCATATGTTAAAGGTTCTCAAAGGCATGTGGCCTTCCGTTTCTTTGGTGATATATCTTCAATTTCAGTCTAGGCGTTGTCACTATGTCCGGCAATCCATGCCAAATTTTCTTGTGGGTCCCTAGTGCTTGGCTGTCAGCCTATGGGATTCCACAGGGCTGCAGCCAGTCTGCACACCTCCTCCCCTAATTGGCACGCTCTCACTTGTTGCTTTTCGTTCGAGCACCAATTCTTCTTTCTTGTGTCAGACCGCTTGTGTTTCCCCGTGATCTACTGTGCTTCTATACCTTTTTGGATCTCTGCTTTGTACTGATCTCCCTGTCGGCTATTCCCCCATTGCTAGTGAACTCCCTGTTGGCTATTCCTACCTTGCTTGGTTCTTGTGTTTCTATGTGTTGTAGTTCCTGTGTGCTGGTCCCCTACCTTTTTTGTATGCTTTCCCCCACCATTTTTGTGCTCTCTTCTGTGTGCCTGTACCTAGTACCTTCCCCTGTGCAGATATCTCTGTTTGCCCTAGTCTCTGGCCTATTCATGCTCCCTATGTGTGCTGTGATTCTCTGTGCTCCCTGAGACCCTGCTGTCCTGCAAGTGGAGGGTTATCCTCCCCTATGAGAGCCCCTACACCTGTTCTTGCATGTGTCTGTAATCATGTGTGGCTGCTTGTTCCTGCTTGTTGATATTTTGAGGATATCCTCAAAATATCTAAAGAGGATGTCCAGACTACAAAATTGCCTGACTCAATGGGTGAAGCTGTTATCCTGATTGTTCCGAAAGCAAGAGGGTATGCTAGGCTTCCGGGGTCCTATAGGCCAATCTCCTTATTGACGTCTGATATCAGGGCATCTAGTAAAGTGCTGGTATTGCGACTTTCAAAAGGTTATTGGTAAGTTTATCAATCCAAACCAGGCAGGGTTTATACCCACCCGTTCTACAGCTAATGATATGCATAGATTGTTCCTTAATTTGCAGATTCCAGTTATGAATAATGGAAACAGGGCTATTCTATCACTGGACCCAGCCAAAACCGTTGATAGTGACGAGTGAGAATATTTATGGCAAGTATTAAGTTTGGATTTACTGAACAATATATCTCCTGGATCCAGTCCCTGTATTCTAATAATCAGCATGTGTAAGAGTTAACGGTGGATTGTCAGAACCATTTCCCCTTTATAGAGGTACAAGACAGGTAGGTCCCTTATCACCTTTATTGTTTGCATTAGTCTTAGAGCCTTTGGCAGGGGCAATAAGGGGATCAGAGACAGTGATCGGATTCAGAAGAGAAACAGTAGAAGATAAAGTGGGATTATATGCTGATGGTGCTATGATCTTTTTGGGCGATAAAATAATACGCTCCCCCCTTATTAGCCCCCCCACACAAAATAATAATACACTCACCCCCCCCC